GATCATGACCTGACCGAAGGCAGACGCTTAACCGACTGAGCCACCCAGGCGTCCCTTATATTCTCTTTTGTATATATGGTATCTTTTTCAGATTATTAGGTTGTTCATTCTATGCAGGTTACAAAAAGAGAGGTAGATATATATGTACTGGCATGGGGAAAATATTCAGTGCATATCAAGTGACAAGCATGTTGTACAACTCAACGTATAATCTCACTTTAATGAAAATATTAATGTGTCCCTTGAAATAAATTTGAACAATATACACTAAAATTTGGACACTGATCATCACTGGTATGGTTTTCATTTCAAAACTATATATTTCTATAGTGTTTTAATATTTTGCACTAATCTCATTCACTTTTGTGATAAAAAAACAGTAAGGATTATTTTCATATGTATAAAAAACTATTTTAAATAGATGAATAATTTTTCTAGAAAGATATTTTCCCCTTTTGCAAACTGAAAAGAGTTCGCTAAAGACCCCTAATTCTGTAAAAGAGAATTTGTGAGGATAGAAAGTTCAAATTGAGAAGGGCTTCCAGGTCCCTTTAATGGGGTACAGAGTGAATGGGGCCTGGTCAGTCCCCCAGGCTTACCAGCAAACCTGCTTCTTCCCTGCCACTCTCTCTGTCTTTTTTATTTTTTTAAGATTGTATTTATTTATTTATTTGACAGAGAGAGAGCACAAGTAGGCAGAGCGGCAGGCAGAGGGAGAGGGAGAAGCAGGCTCCCCATTGAGCAGAGAGCCCGATGCGGGGCTCAATTCCAGGACCCTGGGATCATGACCTGAGCCGAAGGCAGACGCTTAACCAACTGAGCCACCAAGGTGCCCCATCACTGCCACTCTCTACCCCCTGCTCAGGAGGGTAATGGAAATCTTGGCCAGCTGCCCTCCAGTCCTGCCCCACTGGTTCCAGTCGACTGAGAATATGGCAGTTAAGCCAAAGGCTAACAATATCCTGACTTCCGAGTAACACCTGTGAACTGAGAGAAGACATAGTGGGGTCAGAGCAAGTGCACAGGGGCACAGTAGGGCAAAGAATACTGCAAAGGAGCTATGGGGGATATGGAAAGCCCAGGAGATCTTGTTCTGGGATAGCTGCTGAATTGCCCTCTAGAATTTTCCACTGCAAATGGTGGGGCTTCTTGGGCTCTTGAGCTTGGAAAGCATGGATAGAAGGGTTTCTGCGGCAAGAAGAGAATTTAGCTTATCAAGGGGGGAAAAAATGCCAGGCTTTTGCACATGCTGCACCCTCTGCCTAGAACAAGTCCCTCCACCTTATTCTGGCCATTCTTCATTCTTCAAATTTCAAGTTATGGACCACTTCCTCTTCTCCAACTCCCACCACCCCACCTTCACCATCCTCCAAGAAGGGCTTAGAGGTCTCTCTGCTCCCACAGTTGATGCTTGCCTTAGCCAACACTATCCCACTCCAACAACTCCCTATTGGTCTTTCCCAGTGGATTTTAAGCTGATGAGGTCAGGGACCATAATTATCTTACTTACCACTGTATCTCTGGTATCTAGATACTCCTTAAGTATAGTACTCATAAACTGTTTTGATAAATGGATGAATAAAAATGGAAGGAATGGCAAAGTGGGCAAGTGACAGAGAATCCCTCCACTTGTCTGGAGTATGGTTCTCAGCAGCCTAAGGGAGTGGCCTCCAGGGCAAAGGAAAGCCGCAGGGAACTTTATCCTCCCTCCGTCTCCTCCCCACTCCCTACCATTCTTTTGTCGTTATACCCCTTCTTCCCCAGCCCTGCATCTCTACATCCAATTTGGTGTGAGCTTGAGCTCCCTCTACTGGCCAGACTTCCGTGCCATGGGGAGCCAAGCCCAGGTACCCTCCCTTATTTCATTCCTCCCTCTGGAGAGACCTTTCTATTCCCTCCCCTACTTTGGAGTTTGTGAGGAACTGGAACATGAAGGGAAATCAGGGGTAGCCAACACACTGGAGGTTTCCCAGGTCTGAGCCCCCACCTCCCCATCCTCGACCCCAGGGGCACTTCCCTCACATCCTCACCTCATGCTCAGTTTCCTGGAGTCTCTATTCCTATACTCCTACTCCAGCTAATTCACAGAGATATTGATTTCTGGAGCCCTTGGCTGGTACATCAGCTCTGACTGCAAAAGAAAGATCCCAAGATGAGTTGGGAATAGACAGAGACAGAGCAGAGAGAAAGGGGCCCAGAAAGTGAAAGGATATAAACCCACACTGAGACAAAGATTATGGTTGAAAAAGACCACCAGAGCTGTCCACAGACCTTTCTACCCCCATGGATTCATAAACCAGGGCCCCTGCCCTCTAAAGAAAGATTTCCCTCACCCCTTCAGTGTACCTATGTCCCCCTAAGGGGAATTATTGTGTTAATCAGATCTTCAGGCTTAATAGAAATATTAGACTTTAGGGATAACTCCTGGACAAAAGGGCTCTCCCCACCCCTGCCCCCTTCTCCTGAGAGAGCCCATCTGGGGCTCACATCTTCACTGTCACCACTGAGTGAATATTCTGGCTCCAGCCCCTTCTCAGGGATGCTTCTTTCCTTCTCTGGCATCAGCTCATCCAGCCAAAGTAGTTCCTGTGGTGAGAAGACCCTCTCCAGTGCCTTTCGGACCCCCACCAGGCCCAGCAACTGCAGGGATAGAAACAAGACCCAGGGCTGTCAGCAATAGCAGCAGAAACATGAGCAGCAGTAGCACTTATTGAGCACTTCCTGTGTACTAGGCATTGTGTATTGTTTCATTTAATGCTAACACATTCCTACAAGATAAATATAATTGTTCCCACTGTATAGAGAAAGAAACTGAAGCCCTGAGAGTTTAGAAACTTCCCAGAAGTTACACAGCTGGGATCCGGTAATCATATTGGTGCTACTAGAAAGCCCAGGGCTCTTAACTTCCTCAGGGACTAAGGATAAGGCCAGAAACCACCAGTGTCATCGCCTCACTGAGTAACAAAAGTGCCAGTATTGCCTCTCCCAGGGCCTCGGTTTTCTTTTGGACTTTATATCTCTGTCTGTGGTTGGTCAGCCAAAGAGGTTGTAAATGGAGTTGAATCAGGTATCCCAGGATTAGCTTATCTGTGGGCATCTCTCAGCCATCTTTCTCTGTCCCAAGATTCCCAACCAGGCAGAGTCAGGGCAAGTGAGAGGGGGAGAGTCTTCCTCCTGTGGAGGCTTTGGCCACCCTCCCAGGCTCAGAGTCTCCCAGGTTCCCTGGGACACTACCCAACCCTGCCCCAAGTCACCATGAGGGGGAAGATGATGGCTGCAGGGGTAGACTTGATTATCCAAAGCAAACCCAGGCAGGCAAGCTGGATGGCTGTGAAGAGGTGGACCCTGCTCAGAGGTACATGGCGTAAAAGCAGGAGGTCTGGCTGATGTTTTGCTGGCATCAATAATAGCTGTACCCTCTTTGTGAACTAGGGGAACAAGAGGAGGAGGAAAGCAGGGTATTCAGCCCAGAGGGTGTCACTGTTAGCTATCGAAGCCTAGCGTGAGGGGGCGGCCAGAAGTCTCCCTTGGCACCCTCCCCATTCAGAGCATGGCAGCAGAATCCTATGCCCAGGAGAGTCAGGAAAAGAGGATAGGAGAGGACTCGGCAAGTATAGGCAGGAGGTACCAGCAGGAAAGAATAGGAGGAGTGGGACTGCATGGTAAATATAATGGGCTCACCTGAATGCTGCTAATCGCTGCCACCCCCATGTACAGGAAGATGCCATAGAGCACAGGCATTGGGATGAACTGGTAGGAAGAAGTGGAGAGCTGGCAAAGGAGTTAACTCGTGCCAGCTGCCCGGATGCCCCCCACCCCCCACTTAGGCTCCAGCCCCAGCCTCCAGCATCTACATCTAAGCCTACCCAGCTTTTTCTGTTCTTTCCAACTGCATGCCTGATACTGAATCCTCAAGACAGTCAGAAGAGGTAAATTCTATAATTGTTTCCATTTTACAGAAGGGGCATTGGATTGGCCTACTTCTCCAATCTTATCTATCACGTTCTTCTTTGCTCTCTCTGTTCCTGCTATATGGCTTCCTTTCCTTCCCCCAACATGCCCAAGTTTATTTCTACCCCCTTGCAAGCCCTTTGCTTTGCTTTGCTATGTCCCTCCACCTAAAATGTCCTTGCTTGACTTTCTTCTCACTACTCAGGCTTCTCACTCCTCATCTCTTGACATCCCAGAAGGGTGTGACCTTTCAATCTAAAGTAGACCTCTTGCACTCTTAATCACCTTACCCTCTTATATTTTTCATTAGAAGTAATCACTATCTGAAATTATCCTATTTTATTAATTTTTTTCATCTGTCTCTTCTCACCAGAGACTATAAGCAGTAGATGGTCTCTTTTGATCACTACTATATCCCCAGTCTTTGGAACAGTGCCTAGCATATGGTTTATGTGCAGTAAACATCTGCTGAATGAGAGTCACCTAGTTAGTAAGCAGCTGATCCGGTCCATCTGGCTCTTTCAACTACTCCACTCTCACCCAGCTCCATGACCTTTCCCTCCCCAAACTTCTCCTCACTGGTGACTGTTGTATGCCATTCTCCATGCCCTCCTCGATTGCTTTGCTGCTTTGGCTTGTTGAAACTTTCTGTGATTACCTGTTACTTAATTTTTGTTCATGTGTATATGTTGCTGATAGGGACTTGGCTCCACATCTCTTTTCAATACTCCTGCCCCTTCCTGCTCCCCACCCGCTTCTCCCAAGTGCCTAACAGAGCCTTGCGCATGGCAGGTATTCTACAAACATCTGGTAAGGGAGCAGTGAAGGGGTTTTGCCTCAAGGTTTTTCTGGGGCGTGATGATCACACTTTGTTGGGAGGCTGGAGCAAGGGTACCATACCACTTGGCCCATAGGGGAAGGTGGCATGCCCACACCCTTCTCCACTGGGTAGAAAGCCCTCTGGGTAAGAGGTTGGGTTCTCAGATGGACCTGAGAAACTAGCTCTCTTGGTGATCTTTTGTAAGCTGCTTAACCTCTTTAACCTTCAGCTTCCTCATTTGTGAAGTACGGATGCCTTCAGGGTTCATGGGAGGATCAAATGAGACCAAGTGTGGAGAAAACAGCACAGTGCCTGGTGCACAGTAAGTATTTAGCCAGTGTCAGTTCTTGCTTTCTTTATTATTAGTACTGCCCGGCCCGGCCCCTGATGCCAGGCGAACAGGTACCTTGAGTACAGGTGCCAGGAAGATGGAAGTTCCTGTGAGGATGAACACCACCAGGCCTGTCAGCCTCTGCTCCCTGTGGTACAGAGAAGGAAGAGTTAGCCAGGGTCTGGGAGAGCCCCCAGGGTGCCGGACTGGAGATGCGGACCAGATACTACTACAGGCACTGGCAGGAGGGAAGTGGAGGGATCCCCCACTAGTCACCTGGCAAGGAGGGGGCCTTAGCACGGTGTGCAAAATTGGTGGAGAGGAAGGGGCACGGCACTTCAGTTTGGGTGTTCCAGGCCTCACCATCAGCTCAAGCTCATAGGCTTTGATTTTGATTTTGAAGGAAAGTTAGCAATTTTTACACTGCCATAAAAACTTCTCTTTCAGGGCGCCTGGGTGGCTCAGTTGGTTAAGTGACTGCCTTCGGCTCAGGTCATGATCCTGGAGTCCCTGGATCGAGTCCCACATCAGGCTCCCTGCTCAGCAGGGAGCCTGCTTCTGCCTCTGACCCTCCCCCCTCTCATGTGCTCTCTCTCATTCTCTGTCTCAAATAAATAAATAAAATCTTTAAAAAAAAAAAAACAAAACTTCTCTTTCACAGTTTCAAAGTTAATTTCACATACTTTCCATAGATTGTGTTTCCAATAGTTACAAAATTGTTTTTGTGACGGTAACTCTGTAACATCAGTGAGGTACTCCTACACTGAGCGGGGGGTGGGGGGCGGCGGGGGGCAGGGGGTATTTAGCTGGCACCTCACCCTCGCTCAGCCCTGGCTGCCTCTGCCTTTACATCCATGAGGCTCCTCTCGAGGGCCCGCCCAATCCCACGGCCGAAGGAGAATGGGGGAAGATCTGACACACCCATCTCAGCCCAGAACCCATCCATTCACCCCACTGCAGTGCTCATGGAGCAGTGAGAGAGCCCTCTGGAGTCACCAGCTTAGAATTTAAGCTGTCCAAATAAGTGCTTTGTATCCCACCATACCACCTTACTGACCACCTCTCACTCTAGCCTCCTGAATACTGGCCTCACCTGATCCCCAGGAAGCTGCGGGGCTCCCCCAGGGCACAGGCTCTGCTTTCTCTCCGAAGACTGTCCATGTGGGCCAGGGAGATGACTGTGGCTGAGACGTACCAGGGCAGCCCCAGCACTGATGTGAGCAGCATCAGCATAGCCACACAGAAGAGGTCCAGGTGGAAGCCAGCTCCCTTCTGCAGGTAGTGGTGGAGTACTGAGGGTGAAACTAAACCAGACCTGGGCTCTCTCTCCTTTGGAGTGGGAGAGGGAGGTCCTGGACCCCATCCTGGAGTTTCTGTCCCTTGGTCTAGGGACCTAGGGTCTTACCCGGCAGGCCTTACCCGCAGTTTATATTCAGCGCGGTTGAGGATGACCGCTGTGATCTGCTGGTCCATGAAGATGAGGATAGATAGCAGCAGGGCAGGTAAGGCTGCTGCCACACTTAGCCACCAGGCGTTGGCTCCAAAAGGTGACACCAGCCAGCCACGCCCAGGGAGTGTGGGCTGGGAGAGGGTGTTCCATGGACAAGTTAGAGAGGGTCTCCCAAGAGTACCTCACCTGCACACCCCAGCATTGGCATTCTTCTATAAGCCCTTACCCCCGTTCCAAGACCCTAGATGATAGGTAGGAGCAGTATGTGTGCATGCATAGCTGGTTCAAAGCATCCCAGTGTCTTAAAAGAGGGCAGAAGGAGGGGGACCACCCTGGGCGTTGGGCTGGAGCCAGGGGCTCTGGACCTTGTTCTCAGGGGCCCTCCCGCCCTGCAAGAGGAGGAGATGGAAGGAGAGGCTGGCCTATACTTCTTGATGTACAGAGCCCTCTCCCCTAGGCAACGCCCCCCTCCGCCCAACCAGGGTGGAGCGACTCAGGCTCAGACCTGCCTTGATCTGGGGCAGGCGCAGGGCTGGGTGTGTCTGCGTCTGCTCTGATTATAAGCGTCTTTGTGGGGGAGGGGACCCCAGTTGTCGTCTCAGATTCTGAGCCACTGAGGCTACCCAACTGGAGTCCCCCTGCTCTCCTGTCCTGGGGGAAGCTGGAGAGAAGGTCTCCAAATGCCCAGGCAAAGTCTAAGTGCTAAGTCAGTGCTAAGCCTTGTCCTGTGCACTGTCATGCCCTTGGTAGGGAGCTCCAGCTTTACCAGATCAGAGCCGGCAACTGGGGGTTCAAAAAAGAGAGTGGGGGGGCACCTGGGTGGCTCAGTCATTAAGCGTCTGCCTTTGGCTCAGGTCATGATCCCAGGGTCCTGGGATCAAGCCCGGCATCGGGCTCCCTGCTCGGCGGGAAGCCTGCTTCTCCCTCCTCCCTCTCCCCCTGCTTGTGTTCCCTCTCTTGCTCTCTCTCTCTCTCTGTCAAATAAGTAAATAAATCTTTAAAAAAAAAAAGAGAGAGAGAGAGAGAGAGTGGGGAATAGTGGAGTGGGTAGGGCCAACCTATGACAATAAGTAACATTTATTAAGGTCTTGGTATATATGCCAGTCCCTGCACTGTAGTAAAATGCTTTACATCCATCTTCTGTGAACCTCAAGACAACTTATAGAGTAGGAACCATTGTTATTTATTATTTTCATTTTATAGATGCATAAATTGAGGCTCATTGATGAGAGATGTGGGTTAATTTGCCTAAGGTTTTACAGCTAGGAAGTGGCAGAACAGGATCTCAAACCCAGGGCTGGCTGAGCAGAACTCATCCTCTTAACCCCTAATTTATAATAATAGCTGCCATGTATTCTGTACCACTGTGTCAGCAGCAGTACCTCATTAATCCTCACAGCAGCTCTGTGAGGTCATTATTATTATCCTTTCTATTTTATAAGCGAGGAAATGGAAGCTCAGAGGAAGAGAAGCATGGGATCTGTGCATTTCCTCCTCCAAGGTCCTGTGTGCTGGCCCTGCTCACCCCTCTGTCCTATACTCCCAGCTCTCACCTTGAACTCACTGGGCACCGTGAGCTTTGGCGTGGCCAGACCCAGGAAGGAATCAAGGCCACAGCCCAGCAGCATGGCCAGGACTGAGGAGAAGTCACCGAGCACTTTGCGCACCTGGCCACACAGTGGACACTCGTCAGATTCAGGCCCGCCAGCCCCCTCCTTCTTCACCCTTTCCCATGCACAGACATAGCCCAAGGCCAAGAGCCAGTACTCTCCGACAGAAAGAGAGGTAACACTCACCACAGAGGGGAAGAAGCGGCTTGCCTTCACATGCTTGAGGGCCGTGGCTAAGAGGAAGGAGGTAAGGAAGAGGAGGAGGGAGAAGAAGGCGATGTCTGGGACTGTATGGCAGCTGGGGCCGCGAGGCTGGCCTCCCCTCCGGGCACACTCAGGTGGGGGCAGCAAGGAGGCATTGACCAGGCCAAGGTCCTGTGTGGAGGGGGTCATCAGGGATGGGGGTGGCGGAATAAACACTGGCTGACACTCACTGGGACAGCAAGGGCCCAGGATAAGAGGTCTCCAGCCACAGCACAGGTCTGGGCCTCTGTGACCAATGAGGGTTTCCCTAGCCTATGGGGTGGGAAAAGCGGGGCACCACCGACTTCTTTGGCTCCCAGCCTTTCTTTCCCAGACCCTCCCAGGAACAGGCCCTCACCATACTTGAGATGTCATCTCTGTCTTTTGGTTCTGTCTTCGTCCACTGAGACTTATTTCCTGGGAAGCAGAGAACAATTTGGGTATATGCCCCTCCCTTGGGAACCTTCTCCAACCCCTCAGAAGTCTAACCTCATGGGTCCAAGTAAACCAGAGAGTTCTTAGTTCTGACTCATCTGTCTGCTGACTCCAATTGCTACCAAGTCTGCGCTCCTCAGAACATTGCCTGGTCCCTTCACATTCCTTACCTATCTGTATCCCTGGTGCCAGAGACAGGACTGGCCAGAGCAGATGCCTAACAAATGTTTGCTTAATGGATGAGTACACCAATCTATGGGTTTCTACCAGGACCGGAACTGGTTTTGTTCATGTCCAGCAGAGTCTGGCACGCTTGAGAGGACATCTCTTCCCCATTCCTGCTGCTTCCTTCCACATGGAGGTATTTGTGCAAAAGTAATATGCTGAGTGGCTCTCCCCCTGAGTCGTCACTCAGACTAGGGAAAGAGCAGCAATTTATTTGATTGGTGAGTTTGAGAGAAGGCGCTGGGCATGCCTCTCCCTGTCCCCTCCTCTCCTCACTCTTGGGAATAAGCTGCCTGCACTGTGCATACATTTAGCTTTGCTCCTCTGGGGCAAGACAGTCCCTGTCCAGTGCAGCCATGACTGGGTGCGTAAATCTATCTAATTTAGGTTTCATTGTTAGGAAGCCCGTTCCCCCACAGTTATAAGCATGTTCTTCGATCAGCATTGTCAGAAATAAAGACAATATTGGGCCTGCTCTGTTACTTCTCAATTGATCCAAAACCAGAGGGGAAAAGTGCTGCTGGTTTTTGGGTAAGTATTCAGGATTCTGCTGAACTTAACAAGGGGGGGATAGCAAGGGGACAACCCCTCCCCCTCCTGCATCCTTCCCCATCTTGCCAAACTCCCTGTTTCCCTCACCCACCTCCCAGGTCTGGGTACTGGCAAAAGCAGCCATAAGCAGGATAGCCAGGGCTCTGGATGGGATAGGCACTGGTCAAGCTCAGCATTTTGCCCACAGCATCGTAGATGAAGATGAGGCTGATGAGGGCACAGAAGCCTTCTTCGGTGAAGCGGGTAAAGTAGCGTACCAGCACGCTGGCCTCTGTGGCCACCAGTGCCAGGCAAAATGTGGCCACCCAGATGCCCACCCACAGGCGGAAGGGTAGGTAGTCCAGGCTGTAATCTCTGGGGGGGGGGGGGGGGGGCGGTGAGACAGACAGGAATTGGCAGAGCTGTTCTGCTCTCCACTTAATCCAGGTTAGGTGCCCCTGGAGCCAGACAGTTTCCACCCTCCCCTACTGACCCAGCCAGGACCAGGCTGAGAGTGTGGCTAGTGAGGGTCTGGTGACAGTCAGGGCATTCTCCTACCTACTAAAGGAGAAGAGCAGGCGCTCGAAGACCAGCACTGGCCCCGTACTGCTGAGGATGGTGAGGGGTTGGCCAGCCATCAGGCAGAAGGCAGCTCCCGCCACTGCAGTGCCCAGGAAACTCTCCAGCACCCCCTAGAAGCCAGTAGGGAACCCTGTCCGCACAGGACGCTGGAGTCCTCAGCACAGCAACCCAAGCTTCCAGGGAAGCCCACCCATTGTCCCAGGGAAGGGTAAAGGGCATGGTGGGCAGAATACCAAAACTTGTGCCTGCCCCCCTCATGCCTCCCCACTCACCTGAGCACCATTGGTCGCTTCCCCCAGCAGACCCCCAAAAGTGATGGCATTAGTGACGGTGGCCAAGTAAATGTAGAGCACGGCCGAGAAGCACTGGGGATGTAGCGCGTCCAAGAAGTCGCTGGGGTACCATGAGGCCTTCCGGCGCACATCCTGGACAAGGCCCCCAAACAGCCTCCCACCCATGGTTTGTCAGTGATCCAGGTGACCCCACCCATGCCCCTATCCCCACTACTTTCCCTGGGACTGGGTGATCCCCTCCACAGTGAGCATACGCCTCTGTGCCCCTGTGA